AGAAATAATTAAGGATGCAAACTCACAATTCACTATGGTTTTGAGAATGTTATTCCTATTTCGTCCGCTTCATATTCTCTTAATATAGTCAGCCAATCAAATTAGTTAAATCTAAATTTTTATTTCCTTGTAAGACTTTTTCCTGAAAAATAATGGATATTTTGGAGGGGAGACTAGTAGGTTTGGAAGACCACAGCATGATTGAGAAAATAGTGGCTCAATTATAATTTGCAAACTCCACACATGCTTGCGTGTGGGAAAGAAATAAGAAAGAGTGGGAAGTTGGAGAAAAGGGAAAATGGAGACATGTCAAAAAACGATGATTTTTGAAAGAGAGCTTTTTAGCTCACCACCTTAAATGATGCAGGCTTATCGTACACTTAATTATTTGTCAAGTATTCTTTCACTTACTTTTATCATTTTTTTTTAAATTAAAAAAGTAATATTTAATGTGAAAGTTAACTAGAGTTAGATAAAATGATACTTGTTAAATAATTAAATATATAATGAGTATAAGTCATAGATACGGTGGTGCGCAAAAATGGTTCCCTTTGCAAGGTAGCTGGAGTAGTTGGAGAAAAGGGAAAATGGGGACATGAATGGAGGTTTCAAAAAAGAGTTGAAAGCCACGAGCAATTAATTCAGCAACCAAATAATAAAAAGGAATCTTATAGTATATTATTGAATCTGTACTCCGAAGGCAAAGCAACTAAAAGGAATCTCGAAGCAGCAGCTAACACCAGAGACTGTCCCACGGCAAAAGCTTTAGGACGGAGTTCAATTCCCGGTCGTTATATCGCCCACTTCGACTCCGCGCGACTCTAGCAGCAGCTGCTACTCCCAGTCTCTCAAAAACCATCCAAGCCAACGAACACTACCAACAGGCCCGGCTCCGACAATCTGGTGCTGGCTTTACGACGGAGTCAAATTCCCGGTTGTTATATCTCCGACCTAGCTGCTCTTAGTCTCACAAAAACTATCCAAACCGACAAACACTACTTACAGGCCCAGCTCCGAAAATCTGGTGCTGTACTCTTCAGGGGCTTTACGACGGAGTCAAATTCCCGGTCGTTATATCTCCGACTCTCTGGCTGCTCTTAGTCTCACAAAAACTATCCAAGCCGACAAACACTACCTACAGGCCCAGCTCCGACAATCTGGGGCCGTACTCTTAAGGGGCTTTACGACAGAGTTCAAGTCCCAGTCGTTATATCTCCCACTCCGGCTCCGGCTCCAGCTGCTCTTAGTCTCACAAACACCATCCAAGCCGACAAACAGTACCTACAGGCCCAGCACCGACAATCTGGGACGCCCGTACTCTTCAAGGCCTTCCCGTACATACAGCCACCCACTTCAGCGACGTCGTCGAGGCCTTCGACTTCGGAGAGCATCCTTACTGCTCCTGTGACCAGAATCGTGAATCGGGTTTTTACCGCCAACGACCAAAAGATTCCATTTCTTGGTAAGTGTTACGCTGTTTTTTGATTGGGATAAATTTTTATGTGTGACGAAAATACGGATGGTACACCATGTGTTTATGTAAGCGGTGAGAAATTTTATTTTTTAAGTTATTAACTTTTTAACACACATGTCCCACTATTTATATAGCGACACATGGTGTACTATCCCATGTAACGATCACACTGAAAAATCTCTCTTTGATTGGATGCTAACTTTGTTTCGATCGGGTTTTATGGCCCAGTCAGCAGTAGAAATTGTCAGAAAAAACGGGAACCGGATCCCCTCCGGACTCAAAGGAACTGAGCCCATGAATCAAATGATATGGGTCATTGAAATTTAATCCAACGGCTACAATTATTATAATTTTTAGAGGAGCCTCTATTTGTAGCCGTTGAATCAAATTTCAATGATCCGGATCATTTGATATTTAGACGCAATTTTTTTGGGTCCAGAGGGGATTCAGTTCCAAAAAAACCTACGATAAACAATAACCCACGTAAGCAATCTGTTAACTATATTAATTATTTTGGTTAACTTTTTTGCCCTTGAAGTTTAATATTAAAAGAGTAATGTTATTCATACCTTATTTTTATATCACATTTCTATATCACCTTAAGTGGCATCTGATGTGGATAACCTCATCATTTGAAAATTTTGCAAAAATCAAGGAAATGAAGGAGAAAGACTCCTCGTATATCATAATCATCATTTAATTAACTAGTTTTTCTTAATTATTAGTTTATTAAATAATGAACTAAATTTAAATATCTGATTAATTCAAATGATATGGATGTCCACATCAAATACCACATAAGATGGTATGAAAATGTGGTACAAAAACATGGTATGAATAACATTACTCTTAATAGCAGGCCTTGATTTAATATGTTTGTTAGTTCAAAACTTTGTTTGACTATTTTGCCCTTATTTGCTAAATAAAAGCATGACTTATATAAATCAAAACAAAACACTCAACAAATATATTTGCATGTAATAAAAATATTACGCGTGTAGTCTATCTAACTAAAAGGTAAAAATAAAGAACACATAGAAAGAGATGATGAAAACGCAAAAATGCAAGATTATATTACCTTCTTGATAGGTACAACATAAAAATAAAGAAAATATGTACGAGTCTAAAATTATAAGATTGTGTTAATTACCTCAATATCAATAAAACTAATAAATATTAAACTCATATTCTGCTTGTCAGGTAGATTAGCACAAAACTCAAACGTATTAGATCGATAATTTATATTGAAATAACAAATTCATACACCTAAGCATGTTGATAATTAAAAACACCCCTGCAATTGCAAAAATATTCATTGCCTCCTTGGGAGGTAGGCTAAAAGATCCAATAAAAAACAATTAAAAACACAAATCTGCAATAAAGAAAGAAAATAATAAATCGATTCCTATTACCAAGGTAAATAAATAAAATAATTATTATTAGTATTCTAAAATTTTCATTGTACTCATCAAAATTTTTATATTAAAAAATTATACTTGTAAATAGTCATAACGAAATTTTCCGATGGTCTTTGGAGATGTCTTCAGTATTTAAATATAATGACTAATCATGATACTCAAATAGATACCGTGTTAGGATGTGCAGTGTTGTTATATTTCAGAAAGTCAAAGAGAACACATGTTTATAAAAACTTGAATTATTATTTCTAAAGAAAACTAATAAATTTTTTTTATAAATTTTAAGTTTTAACAATAATAATAAAAATAATAATAAAGTAAATAGTATAAAAAAAATTTCGTTAAAATTTCCTTATTCCTATTATCCATTCGCCGAGAAGTCTCTACCTCTTTCGTCCTTTATAAGAAATTGAATAGCATGGGGTGGGGAATACTTACGAAAGGAAGTGTTGGTGTGACTGAGGTAGTTATAGTCTTTGCGTAACTGAGTGCAACTGCCAATGAGGGGATGTGATGTATGTGAGGGGACGTATGAATTTGGCTTATTAGGGATCTATGATTAATTTTTATTTTTCAAATCTTAAACATCACGCAATTTTATGCTGGAATTAATATCACATTTAAATACTTTTCATATTAGTTATAAGGTTATGATTGGGGAACATTTCTTTTACACGCATTTTGAACATTCAATTTGTATAGTTCGTAGTGTAATTTTATTCGAATATCTGAATTGTTTATCTTTCAATTTATCATTTATAGATCCTCATTACAAAAAATAAATAAATCCAAAATAATTAAAACATTCCTTTATAATGTAAAAATGAACGAATACAATTTAGCAAGGAAGCACCGAAATGACTATCATTTAATTCCATGGTAATGTGGTTTCGTATTTGAGTAATTTTTGAAACATATGATTTATGAGGAAAGACCTAAAAGATAAATGATTTTATCATTAAAAAAACATTACGAAGTGGGCCTCACAAAATATATACCAATAATGAATGTCTACCGATCCTATATATATGACATAGGTAATGCTAGAGAGGTCAAATTTTTAAATCAAATGATGTGGTTGTAGATGATTGAAGTATTAATTAAGTGTCGATTAACATGCTTGTGTTTTTATTGGTGACACATCATTTAAGAGAAGGAGGTGAGCTTAGCCTCACAATGAACTAACAATAATGTGGTTCAAATTTGACTTTAACGAGAATCAAACCTAAAACATCTCTCTTACAAGTGGATATATACTACTAAACCGTGGTACTGAATGACATAAAGATCGCAAACAGGGGCATTTCAAGAATTATCTATTTATTTATTCATACTATTATTAAGAGTAGAGGCTTGTCAACCCTCTTTACAAATACTATTTATGTCCCTTTTTTAACCCTTAGTTGCAATAAACAACATTTACATAATAGGGATAAATCAGTAATTCGCATATTCAAAATACAAAAATATATAAGTACGTATGCAAATATAAAATTAAAAATGAAAATAATTATTAAAATAATAAGGTTGAAAGTCTGAAATAATCATGAACATAAGTCATGTGCAAGACACATAACTTACTTTGCATGGAAAAAAAATTAACAAGTTTAGCATGAGATGGTAAATTAGTGGTTTCGAAAAAATTGATATAATCAATCACTTAAAATTTGAGTTCATATGACAAATTAAAAAATATACAATAAGTTCATATAACATTTTAATTTTTTTTTTAATAAAACTAAAACCCTGTTTGGGTAGGATCCACACGTGCAAGCTAGTTTTCTTTTCTCTACCCGTCATATCTTTTCATTTGGTTGTTTCTTTTCATGAATTGATATATACTGGTATTCAATCTTGATTGATTTTGTGTAAGGTAGGTTGGCATAGACAGAAGAGGATCCTCTCCAGATTCATTTTGTGAGTATTCTAGGGATCTCTACATCCTAACCATTAATCGTACATCTTGATGTCAGTTTTCGTCAGATACTATTTATATTTAATTTTAAATAATAAAAGTAAAAAAAAAGTTCGGCAAAATGGGTTAACCGATGAAGTTTACATAAGTTAGACTTAATTTGACTCAGAATAGTTGAAAACTTGTCTGGAAGTACTAATAAAAGATAAACACGTTTATTAATTTTCATATCATTTAGTTTACAAATTTAGTTTATAAATTGTCTCTATCATTTCCCTTATTAAAAAAAAGGTTGGGCTGGACATACCAATAATTTAGCATGCACTAGGCTTTGGGGACCCTAACACGAGTATCTCGTCGTTACTCCTTAGACTCACTCCCTTTCTCAAGAGCATGTCTGTTCTTCCACAAGTATACTGACTCCGACGTGGCCCACTAATAAAAATACACGTGTATTTTTGTAAAATACCAACTATTCTTGCAACCAAACAATTATCATCTTGCTTTAAAAAAAACAATTGTCATCTGACCTTCAACGATGTAGACCCATTCCTACAGACCACTTTCATGTCCTTGCCCCCAGAGGCCAAGTTTCGGACCTTCCGCTTTGCTGCCCATATGCATCATCCTCCTCTTACCACCCTTTATAGCCTTAGATCTCTGTACTACGTACTGATAGATTTTTCCTTCACAAGCAATAACGTATAATTCCAGACACAGGTGAAAGCGACAAGGTCGGTGGGGATGGGTCTTCTTTTCTCCATGTTTGTGGTTTAGGAATGGGATTGACGGAGGAGAGTTGGAGAAGAGATTGGGGTAGGGACGATGGAGAAGGGGGTGGGAGTGGATCGACGGGGAAGGCGATGTGGTTGGGATGGACGGAGGGGAGGTTGGGGGAGGAGGTGCGGGAATGAGATTGACGGAAAGCGGTTGGGGCGCCGGGCCTGGAAAAGAAGAAAGGAAGAAGATGGGTGTTTGGTTATGGGTTCAAGATGAAAGTTGGGTGTTTAGTTTACAAGATAACAAGGGCCTGTATGGGAAGAGCCTTAAATGACAGGTGTTTAAATATTACATGGCCATGTCATTGGGTAGGATTGGACGTAGTGAAATTGGGTGGCTTCGGTTGTTTAAAGAGTTGGGTTGAAAAGGCGCAACGAGAGAGGAAGCCTTATGACGGAGATGGATTGAGAGAGAGAGAGAGAGGGAATCGCCGGTGGTAGGAGGAGGGCATATGCCGGCGGCAGAGTGAGGCTGCTGATGGGATAGGTTAGAGTGGGTGGGGAAAGCTTGGAGGCTTAGGGGGCGTTTGTTGCGCCGGACTATCTCGGACTAGACTAGCTTCAAGGACTAAGCTGGACTGGCTTAGACTAGACTAAGCTGGATTGGCTTAGACTAGACTAAGTTAGACTAATTTAGTGAAGCGTTTAATGCAGTGTTGAACTAAGAAGCTGGATAATAACAAATTCTAATATTATATTATTTAATATATAAATTATTAATATTTTATTATGATCTAGGTGACCGGAGATGACGAAGAGTCTATCGGGAGTGGTTGTTGAGCATGACGAGGACGAGAGAGGATAGTCTTAGCTAGTCCCATGGTTATTGGGGGGGTCTCGCTAAGACCTCTTAGTGAAGGGTTTTGTCCATGCTAGTCCCCTTTAGTCTCATTAATGTTAGTCCCAGCATTGAACAAACACAGTATTGGACTAACAGCTAGTCCAGTCCAATCCCACTTAATGAGGGCAAACAAACGCCCCCTTAGGATTTTTTTTCTGACGAACTCGATGGGTGGATTGGTGGCTGTGGGTTGTTTATTTTTAAATTATTTTTAGTAATTAAAATTAGGAGAATAAAAAATAAAAAATTCATTCAATAATTGGGCATACCCATATCACTATGCTACATAAATTAATGGGTTCTTTAGATATAGACTCTTGCAACTTTTATTTTCCAGACAAAAACTCACCTAGTTATAAACTTCCAAATAAAACTCAAATTTGAAAATGACTACCAAGTAGAAAAATAATTGACCTATTATTACAAGATCTTTACAACTTGTACCACAATATTCCAAATAACTCAATAAATGTAATTACTCACCTTAATTACAATGAACAAATAGTTATTACACATATTATTACCCCTAACATATATATATACACACACGTTCAAATGTATATAGTACTACCATAAGCTCAATATATATATATATATATATATATATATGATGAGCAACTAACATATATTTTGTAGGTAAATTAATGTTGAATCAAATAACATTCTTTTATTTAGTAGGTAATATATTTTCCATGTATTATTATATGGGAACTTTAACGAAAAGCACCTGGTACTGTTCACTTTAACGAAAAACCACATTTTTACACTAAAAAGTCAATCTTGATACTATTCACTTTACCCTTTATTTTGTCCTTATCATTAAAACTCAAAGTTTTCAAGCCCTTTTCATTAGTTTTCCTTTATTATATTTGGCACATTTTATTATTATAAGATATATGTACAAATAATAGGTAATTTATGATGAGCAACTAACATATATTTTGTAGGTAAAATATAATTTGATTGACTAAACTAAGCATGTATTATTACATATATTAGGCATGTTTTATTGTTATTATATATTAGGCAACAAATTTATTATTTTTTTATTTTTGTAAAATCATTAAATCTCCCTTACAATCCGTATATAATCAATTATGTACATCAAACATTCAAATAGGGGTATTTTAGGCATCAAATTTTTTAAAATGTGTAAAGTCTAATATAATTAATGAATTTGCTGATGTGAAATCTAGTCAATGAGTTTTATTACAGTAAAAAACTTATGTCGGATTTTATGCGGAGAAAATTAAACTTTAGGGGCTAAAGTCATATTTTCAGTAAATTAATTTGTAAATTTGGCCTACATAGATGGTTTTCTTTGCATTTTCTTTTTCCGAAACAACATACTAACATTATCTGAACACTATGATTATATTTAATAATAATTCTTAATTTACCAATTTCCAGATTGAATGTTACCCATTACTTTCTGTATGTTTTGGTTACAGAAAATTAATTTAATTACTCCATCTTTTATTGTAGGTCACGCGTAGTAGTACGGTCAATGAGGCTGTACATTTAAATGAGAGATTTTTTAGTGTGACCATCACACGAGGTGATACACCACGTGTCTCTATATAAATTGTGGATTATGTGTGTTAAAAAGTTAATAACTTAAAAATTAAAAATTTCCACCACTTGCATAAAAACAGATGGTGTACCATCCGTGTTCCCGTCACAACTAAAAATTTCTCCAAACCCCGGTTGTCTCAAGAAAATAATAGAAGAAAAAGTAGAGAAAAAAATCCCCTTTGTGTGTCTTTTTATTTAAAAAAGAACAAAAATTGTTGTTTATTATTCTCATTTGTAGTGCGGACGTACTCCCTCTATATAAAAACCATGCAACATGGCAGGAAGGGTACGCAAAAACACCCACAGTTAGCCATGGCAATGCAGTATCAACGTTCTTTGCTTTTGTGTGTGGTGCTACTCATTGGTTTTCCATTGACAAAAAGCAAAGCTGTCGATGTTGAACCACCCGTCGAATGTGACGATTTGCTCCACAGGGAAAGCTTTGATTCTCTTGAACCAGGGTTCCTACTTGGCGCAGGTACCTCGTCTTACCAGGTTAGGGGTTAACTAACTAAATACACTTTAATTTTTTTTAATCTGTAATTTCATATAATTATTTAGGTTTAATTTAATTTCAACGTCAAATCAATTAGCATCCCCGCATAGATGTTGACACATCTTCATTTTGTATGTACTCAAATATATTGTGTACATTTCAGGTAGAAGGTGCTTGGAATCAAAGTGGCAGAGGACCAAGCATATGGGATAACTACACCCACCAATATCCAGGTCTGTCTAATCATATCACTTAGCTAAATTTGTTATCGACGCTTGGCTAAGCCATTCCTGTGTTTTTCAATGGGAACTTTTAACATATTTTGTTACTACAATGTTTAATCGAATCACCATTATGCGAGTTGAATATAAGGTCCTCACTCAAAGTAAAGCGGAAACATATATGCACACATATATCAGATGATGCCAAGTGTAAATATATAGATTAGGCATTCATTCAATATACCAGTTATAATTCCCTTCTTTGAGCTGTGATGCTTTCAACTTCATCTTCTTCTTATGTCAAGAACTCATCTGCAAAATATCATCTTCTGCGTCTTAACAATACACACACACACACACACACACAAATAGCTTCACAAGATTTTTTTTACTTATGTTGTAGATAAAAAAAATTTAATATGGTTAATTGCAGAAAGGATCATTGATCGAAACAATGGAGACATCGCTATTGATCAATATCACCGTTATCAGGTTCCAAAAGAACATAATTTTGTTTCATACATATCCGTTGTTCTTGAAGTTGATGAGCACAATGTATATGCTAAATTTTGGATAATTAGAAAACATGAGACATATTGCTTTCAGCTTCTTTCTTATAGTAATGTATGCCTTCTGTGTCATTACAGGAAGATGTGGATCTTATTAAGAATATAGGGATGGATTCTTATAGGTTCTCTATCTCATGGTCGAGATTGTTACCAAGTAATGTTGATGATTCACATCCATATATTTGATTGGGACCAATCACTTTATGGTTTAACATGTTCTACTTAATTTAATTTCTAGGTGTAGATAGGTATTCACTTATTTAATAGTTTTGCTCTAATTATTAGACGGAAAGCTCTGCGGGGGAGTTAACATGGAAGGAATCAAATACTACAACAATCTAATCGATGAACTCCTACACAATGGTGATGTTTTTATCTTTATCACATTTATAAAGTCATTGCATCAACATATCATAACATCTATATCCACACTCATAAAACATCATTTAATCAGTATACATATAGAACTTTAATTTACTCGTCCTGTCAAATATATATAGGTATAACGCCATTTGTGACACTTTTTCACTGGGATATTCCCCAAGCTTTAGTTGACGAGTATGGTGGTTTATTAAGTCCTCGTATCGTGTAAGTGAACAAATTATCCTCTAAATAATATTGATTATTCACTAAAGAAAATACTACTAACAAATGCATTTTTAAATGTGTATATACAGAGATCACTTTAAAGACTATGCAGATCTCTGTTTTATGCATTTTGGTGATCGAGTAAAGCTCTGGCTAACTTTGAATGAGCCATATAGTATAAGTTATTATGGTTATGCAATCGGGACTCACGCACCGGGACGATGCTCTGCTTGGCAAAAATTAAACTGTACTGGTGGAAATTCAGCTGTTGAACCATATTTGGTGACACACCACCAACTCCTTTGTCATGCAGCCACTGCAAAGTTGTACAAGATTAAATACCAGGTGATCTAATTAATTAATTATTTATGGACTGAATATTTGGTTCTTAATTAAAAATTCTATTTGAGTCACTAGTATTGAGTTACAATAATTTAGGACTTCTTCGCATATTGAGATAAACAATGGTGATAGTTTTGTCTACCTCTTAATAAATATAAATAAATAAAAAATTCTTCATCGAACTTTCTTACGTAGGCATTTCAAAAGGGTGCGATAGGAATAGGAGTGGTGACACACTGGTTTAAGCCCACTTCGAAGGCAAAACAAGATATAGATGCAGCAAATCGAGCTTTGGATTTTATGTATGGATGGTAAGTTTTACTGGACATATGAACTGTCTAAATATTTTATTTATAAATACCAACTAAATTGCTTTTTTTTTATATACAAAATTAAAAATATACAGTTAGCAACACATTATATATGCTACCATGAATTCATGCTTGAAATATCTATATAGGTTTATGGAGCCAGTCACAACTGGTGATTATCCCCAAAGCATGCGACATATGTTGGATCACGATTACCTCAATTCACGAAAGAACAGTCGGATTCTCTAATTGGGTCATATGATTTTATGGGAATCAATTACTACTCTGCTAGATATGCAAGCAATCCACTAAGGAATTCAACTGACCCTGAAAGCTACGTAAATGATCCTCATGTTAATGTGACAAGTGAGTACAAATTTAAAACTTATTTCAAGCAATTAAGGAATTTCTTAGAATAATTAGATTCTAATATTCGTGTATATT